CTAGGAAAGGTTTGTAAGCTCTAAATCAGCACCTTAGTGAGAGAGTTGGTGACTTCATCTGTTGAATGTCAAGCCTGGTGAAAATGTTGAAAGAAAACCTGAAAGAAACCAAAATGCTCCACATGCAATATCAACAATAACTGTGTGCCACACTGTCACTTGCCATCTGGGGTGTTCAGAGCTAGAATTTTCTAACCTGGCTAGATGTTACAACTAAATAAAGTCTGTCAATGATAGGCCGTGGTCCTACGTGGTCCTACGGTCGACACTACAGAACTCTACAGAACCCTTGTGGTGACTGAGGGCGGTCTGACCGTACAGCATTACATTGATGAAAACCTGAAACCTCAGCTGCTGCCCTTTCTGTGGACTCATTCTGACACCACAACAGTCCAGCCAAACAATGCACATCCTCGTTTAATAATGGCTCTCCTATGAGAGAGATGGGAATGTGACAGTTATACAGTACCATAGGGCCAGACTTGAGACCGCATTGTCACTGGTGGGATGACTGGTGGTATCATGTGGTATCTAGGGCTCAGAGAGACCAGTGAACAGGCACATGCTTCTTCTCTATGTGGGGAATAGGTCAGCCTCCCATAAAATAGCGTATTCTGGAAATCTGGAGCAAACCATGGATTGCAGATGTAGAGCTTGTATTGCTTCAGATGGTAAGCTCACATGCTGCTAGCCTGTGTCTCTCACAGTAGACATGTGCGGATCTGCCTTGTTATTGGAAAATGGTCACGATCTTAATAATTGTACCCATGTTACGTTTAAGAAATAAAATGCCAGTATACTTGTTCTAAAAAGATTTTGTCAATTCCCTGATAATACGTTTATGAATTTGTTGCAGTTTTAAGTCTGTGTGTGTATTTAACAGAAATATGGAAGCGTTGCCTCAGACAATCATTTTATTACTTCTATTAAAATCGTACAGAGCTCTCACACATCCCCTTATTCAGATGGTCCATACATTATTACTGATATAATGATTTATAAAAATACATGTGTTTTGCAGACGGTCATGTCTAGTACTCATTCCGTTTTGAATCCCAGCTCAAGCAGGATGTCTGGTCAGAGCTCATTAAGGATGGTCCTCCATCCAGAGTTGGGAATGAAAGAAGTTAAGAAAAGTTATGCATTCCCTAAAGAATGTGTTCGTGGTCTCTTAGATGGGACATTGTCCTCACAGTTACATAATCAAATTAGCGTCCTGCTCTTGTGACAAGAGACTGTAAGATCACTACAACTATCTGGTGTCATGACCATATTCAGTGTGACACCCAAACTGGTCTTGATGGCATCTGGTACTTTGTGTGGCTATTTTGTATGTGGATTTTTATTAATGCTACAGTAGGTAAGCTTTTACTTTGACTTATGCAGAATGATGACCATTTCCCACATGAGAGCAATTCCCCTAATTTTGATAAAACCTGTGCTAAATCACTAATAAACATGGTCTAGGTTTAATAATCATAATCTTTCCATGTATATGATGAAGACAAGTAACATTAAGTGTTTAGTACCATCACTATATGAATTTGGATATATCTACATTTACAATATTTACAAACTTTGGACTTCATCCATTCCTTGTGTTGATTTCAGGGAAAACTTTTATGCATAACCTTGCCTTTGCAGTGAAGTGCAAAGATATCTGATATTCTATCCAGGGTTAGTAAATCCTTTTTCAAAACCCACCTTCTTCTACTGAACGTAATCTTTTGAATTATGAGTCAACCACAGCAGTTGCCCATTCCAGTGGCAATACAGTATATAGTGTTTTACTCTTCAGACAGATCTGAACATCAGTGCAGGCTTTTTATTTCAGCTGTATGCAAGTGCTACTTCTGAAGGTCCTGATCCAATTAGTATTTTTTCTACTGTCTTTTAAGACAAACTGACCATCCAGCCTCTCACTTTACATATACACTAATTCCAACACTTACTTACAGTACAGTATGCACAAATACTTATTGTAGCCACTGTACTGTACAGTGTATGTCTACTGCATAGGCATACAGCTCATTTAGAACTCTCTATTTTAGTGGCTTTGCACCCTATTATGTAAGATCTCTTTATTGTGACTCTCATAGTTATTATATTGTGTAACTAAAGCACTACTATATATACAGTACATTGGTTTTACTTAGTTCTCCCACATTCCCACTTTCTATTGTGCTTGGAGTAAGTATTCCACAAGGTGGGAATTAAATTGCCTCTTTGCTCCACTGTAAAACCAGAGCTTATGTTGCACAGCAATTGAGAGATAGAGAAAGCCATAGGGATACTGAAGAGGTGTCTGGCTTAATGATTTTCTTCAGGCAAAAGTTAACAAAGCTGCAGCCTCATAGTGAACCCTTATAACTTCTATTTGATAAATGTTGAGACCTTGTCCATTTTTGTTTTTGAAGAGGCAACAGATCATCTGAATGAAATATAGTACAGAATCTGTTTCTTAAAACAGCTTTTCGATATTGAAGACCAATTTTGAACAATTGTGACCAATTTTTTTTGAAGTTTCTGTACAGAATTTATTTTATCCCATGAGCTGTGCAGCAAATGTACAACAGGGTAATTCCTTGACTTAAATAAAAACTAAAGGGGTATCATTAATTTTAACCATGATATGGAATACCATTCTAACAATCCTGAATTCTGCACATTTAATTGTCTCAAATTTGTGCAAAGGCTTACCAACAGGTAAAACACAAACCTATACACTCCTCAAATTGTCAGAAGATATACTGTAACAATGGTTATGATAAAAAGCATTTTAACTCTCAGTCAAAATAGTAACCAATTGAGTAACCATGCATAACATTTTATGCATATTAATCAAAGCATAAAACCATTCAGTTTTGGGTTTTTGAAAGAAACAGAAAACACTCTAGAGCTTAGTTAAGCTTTCATACATGGCTGTAACAAGTGCCACAAAAAGAAAGGTTCTCTTGTATGGCAGAGATTATATTAAATTAAACCAATAATTTGACTGACTTTTCAAATGTATGAAACTGTAATCGGTAAAGCTCTCTGTCCCTGTTACAGTCCTCTATAGCAGCACGCATGTACATGAATGACCATAAATAATTTCATGCTATCAAAATTTGAAATTTCCCTCCAATTAAGAATCCTTAAGATGATAATGAGACCCCCTGCATTCCGGCATATCTTTAAGAAATTGCCTTAATCTCAATGCTGAATCATTACTGCAAAGTGAGGCTTCTACAGTTCTCAAAATGAGTTCTTGAGGTGTTAAGGTCATTCTGCATGTGTGAGTGTAGAGTGTAGAGGCAATATACTGTATATTGCAATTACACTATTTTGAGGTGATTAACAGTGCTCTGGTACATAGTAAACCAAATAAAAAGAATATGCCTGTGATACCCTGAAACCAACACCCTCTGATTGTTCCTCAATCTTCGTTTTATCACCCACTTAGCATTTTGTTGTCCTGGATTCTGAACAAAACAGTAATTCCACTGTACTGTACTGTGAGCTAAGCAATATCCAACATTATTACACAGTAGGTTTTGCTGGTATTAAGTGCTATTTTATTCATAGCACTGACATATACAAACATTTTCTTATCGTAGTTATTAATGTTCTATTCACCATAATTAGGGATCTTGTAGAATGGTATATTGCTTTTTGTCTCTTATTGGAAGCTTCAGTAAAATGCTTGTCTGGGCCTTTTTATACAGTACGTTGTGATTTATTGTATCAAAAATAGAATTTAGCAATTATATTCAGAACTATTGCATACATCTTTTTCTCACTAAATTATACATTTTAATCCATGGGGAAGATACCCATGGGGACACATTATAATTCTCCAAATTTGTGTCATTTGTTTTTGGTTTTAAGACACATGGGTTGTATCAAATCCCACAGAATCACAATGTGTACTAGAATATTCAAGAGAGAGAAGAGTATTCCACTGAGAGACAGATCCCATTGATTTACAGCTGCTCAGCAGTAACCTATAAAACAAGGAGAATATGCCACTAGAAATAAGTTTGCTGCTGGAAGAGGTGTTAGTGGGGCCAGAAGGGGGTGCTCACCCTGTGGTCCATGTGGGTCCTAATGCCCCAGTATAATGACGGGGACACTGTACTGAAACAGGCGCTGTCCTTCGGATGAGACGTAAATCCGAGGTCCTGACTCTCTGTGGTCATTAAAAATCCCAGAATGTTTCTCGAAAAGATTAAGTGTGTAATGCCGGCGTCCTGGCCAAATTTCCCATTGGCCCTTACCAGTCATGGCCTCCTAATAATTTCCATCTATGAATTGGCTTCATTACTCTGCTCTCCTCCCAAATGATAGCTGATGTGTGGTGAGCGTTCTGGCCCACTATGGCTGCTGTAACATCATCCAGGTGGATGTTGCACATTGGTGGAGGTGGAGGGGAGTCCCCATTACCTGTAAAGCACTTTGAGTGGAGTATCCAGAAAAGCACTATATAAGTGTAAGCAATTATTATTATTAAATATATTTTCTGTTTATTTCCTTTGCTAAGTATGCACAGTGGGAAAATGTTCCTAATACTAGACTTATCTGCTCACACTAGTTTCTTTGTATCACAAGCCTCAACCTTAAAGAACGTTCACAGTTTTCAAAGTTGACTTCGTGAGCACCAAACCTTGCAACCCAGACAATGTGTATCAGCTGTAGTTATTGTATGTGACAGGCTCTGTGATGGCATGAATCATTCCAAACAAGTGGAAAATGGCTTTTACAGTGCCTAAAGGGTATTCTACTGCCAGTTAATTAGTGCAGCAAAGTCAGCCTTGTCAAACCCATAAAGCCTTGATAAATGGTTTTCAAACTAAATTGAACTGTAAAATTGAATTAGAAGTTTGTGCTGGTGAAAGAAATAACGAATAACAATAATCCTGTAAGACTTGCGGTGTTCTTTTCTTTTAGCAGTTCTAACTAGTCCCCCTTGAAATATGCATTTTTATTTCTAAAATTCCTTCTTCTTTCTCTTTCTGCAGTTTCTTTCCCACTCAGAATGGGACCACAAGCGAGGCTACAGAGGATCTCAGGTTAGTGAACAAAATAGAGGAGATGGGTGTAATTGATTCAATGGGTCCATTTTTCATTCACGTGGAATATCAAAACTGCTTCAGGTCTAAATAAAAACAAAAGTCATGAGGCTTGAACAAACTTTGCACTTGTTAGTTTTAAATATAAATATAATAAATGTGACACAAAATGAAGTTATTTTGACTGCAGTATTGAAACATTTATTGAAGTGTCTTTTACAAGAATAATTTTATCTTTACCCTTTTATTGGTACAAAATGGAAGAGATAACATGGAATCCAATATTTCTTTTTTAAAACTCCTATTTTCCTTGCGAAACAGAATGGGTTTTGAACCTAATCTCCTTTGATTGTGTGCTTTATGTATAGATTAACAAATAGCCCAATATACGTTATGAAGAGTTTTTTGTTTTTGTGATGCACGGGCAAGCTACTGTGAAATGCAGAAAAATGAGGAGCTATCTAATTGCTATGATCACTATCTGTTCGCATTAAGCATATAAAGAATAATTAAGATTTCCCTTTCCTTTCTGGCTTCCTGCCTAGCAAATATCCTCCAGAGGCATAATAATCTCCCACACACTAAGGCACGGAAATATAAAACTAATTTGTACAGAGCAGAATACAAAACAAATCCAATGGCGGACTTCATACAGTATATCTGTCATACAGCTGTATTTAGGTAGCATAGCTTTGTGGTATTTGTCTCTTTGCTTTATTTTTTATTTAATACCAAATTTGATGCCACACCAATGAACCAGTTTGATTATTAGGGGGAACTGAGCTGTAGGGACTGGGAACTTAATATGAGGTCCTGGCAACCTCACAGTTAGTGCTGCCAGATTTCAAGATTTTAGTCTGTTCTTCTTACCTCCTTAAATTAAAGCTCTAATTATCACAGCAAAATAACATCTGCCACTTAATCAAATAACTGATCATCTGAGGGCAATGAAGCAAGCTCTTCCTTTCTGTTGTATTAAAAAGGGTGCCACTTAAATGCCATTTGGGTGGTATTGAATAATGAACCAGTTATAGAAATGAGCTTTTCAGTCCAGCTGCTACTTTTCCCAGTCAGTGTTAGGAGGTGTGATAATTTTAGGTTAGTATTGCTACCCACTACCACTATAGGTAAGGAGAGTTAATGTAATTGGTAAGAGTTGATGTCACTGGATGTTGAAGAAGACATGCAAAGAAAAAAAGTTTATACCGTGTTGAAAAGGAAAAGAAAAGAGACAACATTTTGGGTGTGGAGCCTTCTAGTTGGAAGAAGACATGTCAGCCTTTGTAAAATTATTTCAGGTGGCTAGCTGCGTCAGAATGCGTAGGCTGCAAAGGAACAAGTAAAGGTTTATTCCATGCTAAAATGAGAAGAAAGGAAATACAAATTTTTGGCTGTGGAGCCTTCTTCGGGGCATAACAAGGGTGCTCCTTACACCCGAAGAAGGCTCACAGCCAAAAATTTGTATTTCCTTTCTTTGTGTTTTCTTTCTTCTCTTTTCAGCATGGAATAAACCTATTACTTGCTCCTTTGTGAAATTATGGCTGTTACCCTTGCTGTCACTATAAAATCCGCAACTGTTAAATGGCAATAAGATCTGACCTGCACGAAGCTCTCCCACCCAGAAATATCTGAGATAAAAGCCTAACTCTCAGCATTTATAGCTCGACCCATGGCCTGGATTTTGTGTAATTTGCTGGTACAAATAGCTGCCCTATTCCTAGTCAGAATTGGCTGTCCTGCTGCATATGATTCTTAGTTCCTCTAAGGATTTGTTTTGTAAGCTTTTATGGTGCCTTAGGTAAGATGAAACAGTGCCTTGTAACTGTAAGATGCGGTTGAAATTATTGTACTATTGCTACAAGAATAATACACTGAGATGATAGCAAAATGTTAAAGTAATTCAGAGCACAACATGCCTATCAATTATCAAGCATAGCAATGATGAGATTTCATTCTGCAGTCCTAAGGGCAAAGGGAAAGTTGCATTAGCTTATATAAAGTCATCAATTGATTTGTCCTAAAATAATGTTATGGTTATTGGTAGTGACTATTGAGGTTTTTCAGGATCTAGGACAATGGTTAACACCTGGCTAATGATATCATTTACACTTCTCTAGGGCTTTGAAGCAAGAAAGGACCTGGGGTGTTTACTGAATGTATGTGTGAGACACATTGATCAAAAGAATAGTCTCTGTTTACCTTGGCTAATTAAGTTCTGGGTATCTGGGTATCTGGGTAAATGATTAAGGGTCATCAACAGTGGAGGGACAGAAGATAAAACAGGCAGGTAGGGAGAGAGAGCTACTGTAGAGAGAGAACACCAAAGGACAGCAAGACACAAGGGGAAAGAGACAGAGCCAGGTGAGAGGACCTTGTTCCGATCAGACTTTAACACCATATTTGAGTATTTGAACATTGATAAGAGAGCCTGACTTTTAATACCTTGGTTAAAAAAATATCTCCCCTTTTTGAGCCTGTTAGCTTTTATATACTGTAGAATTTAAATTCTTGGTAGCTGTCTGGGGTTTCTCTGGTTGGTGAGGACATAGGCCTTAGAGACACCTTGTTTATAGTGTAACTTGTACGTTGATATGTTTATGTTGTTTGTCTTTTAATTTGTGTTGTGCCATTATTAATACATTTTTAACTCAGTGTCCCTGATTTATTATGCTTTTCACCAAAGCTGTGTCAGAGCACAAAGAACTTAGGTGCCTCCAATTATACCAACTGCTTGGGCATATTCTTGGCAAACTCTTTAGTTTGGGGGATTGTGATGATTTAATGTACTTATTGATTAATCGCCTAGTCCTTTTTTTCTTGTATTTTCTATTTCCGTAACCTCCTGTTTGTAACGGTAACTCACTGTGAAATTATTGCTGATTTGACAATAAAGGTTTTCACTAGTCTCCTAATATAATATCCATCATTTTAAAGGATCAGGAATATATATTGCCAAAAGAGGTGATACTTTTAAAAAAGCACTCATACAGTAAATCCTGTTATGGATGAAAGTCAGTAAAAACCTACAGTATGGGATATGGGACATTACACCTCCATTCTTTTTCAGGAGAAGCCACTGAGCGTCACTGTTGTTTAGCCTTAATGACCATTGTCTTCTGCAATGTTAAAACAGAATACAGTTCTATTATGTTCAAAATATTCTTTAATGACATGATCAGAGTGTTTCTTTCAGCCAAAGGGTATTTTACCTGGGTTGGATTTTTAATTTCTATGCCCTGAGCATGGACAGAATCCTGGCATAGTCCTATTGAGCCTCTGTATAGACTGCCATAGGATATTCAGCTATGCAAACTGCACTCTCACACAGGAAGGGTGGCTGTTTGCACTTGTCCTGGTCTGGTATTGGCGAAATGGTCCCACAGGTTTTCTACTGGTCTCAGAAAAGGAGAAAAACCTGGCCTTGGCAAGGCTTGGCTTGGCTTGAAGATTCTGATGTTAACATTGTGCGATTGTAATCCTAGCACTGTGTGGTCTTGCATTGCCCTGCTGAGAAATTGACACTTCTAAATCAGCTTGCAAAAACAGAAAAGATTGCTGGCTCAAGGGGTCCATCAATGTATCACTGAGTAATATGTTCATAAAGACATTTTTTTTAAAGGAGATTCCTTCCCACATCATAGCTCTTGCAGTCCCCTTCTGGTTTTCAGATACTGTATATTGGCTTTCAACGGATCTGTAGAGGGCAAAATGGTATTCATTGGTAAACAAAACACTTCACCAGTCTCTCTGCTGCCACCGGAAATGTGCACTTATCCACAGAAAATGTATCTTTTGGCTTTTAGCTGTAAAGTGTTACACCTGAATGTCCTCTTAGTTTGCATAACACTTGGCACTCTACCTTTCTGGTTGTGACCTGTCCCTTACAGAGCTGGTCAGTCTGCTGATTGTCAAAGCAGAGTCTCATTCTTTGGGGAACTATTCTGACCCAAGTAGTCTTCAAGCATTCTGATAGCAGCTAGGTCATCCTCATTACACAAACGGGGCATAGTCATATCTTTTGTTCTTCGTGCATTAATTAAAACCGTCTTCTTAAATGGCTAATTTTACAGGTTCTTAATCAGCTAATTTTGGCCATTTTAATCAAAAACAAAACATCATGAGCATCTGATGTTTTATGTCATCAAATGACTTCAATTCTACATTTTATTATCCCAAGGAACAATACTACCAAACAATGAACAAACATAAGTGATCATTATTTTTAAAATGTAAATAACATCTTGTACTGAGCCATTAATGTAAAACATAGACGGTTGCATTTTCATTGTGCATCAGCATATTGGCAAAGAGAGATCAAGTGTTTGTTACTACAAAAGTGTATCAATGAAAGAAAAATAAACACTTAGGATTATATAGAGGCTTCAAGAGCTGCTTTCACAGAGAAAAGCTTGCCTGCTGATTCAGGGATGGCTGTAGCTTAAACACAATATATCTCACAGTTGCATCATGCTATGTGGGCAGTAGTATTGTACCTTTAGTAGTCAGAGAAGTTCATATATTTTCGTTTCAGAACTATTAAAAGTAATAATAAGGACACTTTTGTTAGTCCAAACAACTCTTTATTATGTAGGACTCAGGCGTTGCTCTTTGCCCTGCAGTTTCCTAGCAACAGCTATTTTCAATTTAAATGTTTCCTGTGCTTGCCACCTACTCTATGTGCTGAGGTCCTCAGTGTGCCATTTCAAGCTTTTTATCTGGAGAATAGCATCTAAAAGCTGGTGCTGCTTTCAGCGGGGTATTCAACAGGTTGAATATACTGAACCTCGGGCAGAGTTTCAGAATGCCTTCCTTCGTCAGTCTCAGGAGTGGCAATGTCAGCAGTGTTTCTGGAGTGGACCTGCAGGAGCAGGACTGATCTCTCATAGAACTTCCAGGGGGACAGCTCTCATCATGATGAACAGGGCTTCCGTTCACCGAGAAAAGCACCACTGGGAACCCATTGTGCCGTCAAACCAGGTGTGTTCTGCAAACTGGTCATG